AAATTGCATTTATGCTATGAGATGAGACGTATTTCAAATCTTGCTTTCAGCATAAACGATTTCGGTAAAGGTTACGTTCGTTTGAGTCGCCTCTACCACCATGACGTAAATTTTATAGCGAGCTGATGCGACTTAAATGACGAGCTCCTAGGGATTTTCGAACCACAGTTTGAGTATCCCTGGTCTATAGTAATGTATTTAATGTTATACATATTCCATTAAAAATCAAATAAATGAGTAAGTACCTATATATCGTCCAATATTATAGTTACTAACTATTACTAACTATATTTCATTTCACGGCTTTTTGATATGAGATCATAAGGTTACGTCGTAACAACAAAAACGGTTGGTTGTAAGCCAACTGTAAAAATTTCTGCAAATTACATGACGTTGAGGTTAATAATTACCTTATTGTTTTACTTAAAACAAGGACCCGCATTTCATACGCCAATGATCTATTTCACTCTGATGGTAATCCCTTGCTAATGGAAAAAGAAGTATGAAAATTGGTGACCCCACAGCAAAATGCTGTGAAATGGACGTAATCAGAGTTGGACTGGGTCACTGGGTCACTAAATTAAACTGGGTCACTGGGTCGCTGGGTCACGTCATACTCTTTTCAGTTAGACCCAGTGACCCAGTTTGACCCAGTGACCCAGTTTAACCCAGTGACCCAACTTGATCCAGTGACCCAGTTTGACCCAGTGACCCAGTTTGACCCAGCGACCCAATTTCACCCGGGGACCCAATTCGACCCAGTCACCCTAGTTTGATCGAATAACGCAGTTAAGTCAGTGCCCTCGGTTCAAGTGTACAGATTATGAAATAAATGAAATGCTGGTTCGTTGAAAATAATACTCGATTTCTTGACAACTGCCATTTCTGTGATGTTTGCTTTAATACTGCCGTAAAAAACTTTCCATGTCCCGAATTGTATAAGAATAATGTTATTTCTTTGCTTCAGGGCTTACCAGTTTGCTTACAGGTGTTCATTCACATTTAATTTTTTTCTACTAGTTAGCTTAATCCAAATAAATCTTTTCTCTAAATACTTTCATTGACTACTTGACTACAAACTATAAACAAATGCATTTGATTTTTTTAGGTATTAGTTCTCTTGAATGAAATTGGGCTACGTGCTTGTTGTCGAGTATTATTGAGGAAGTTTTTTTTAAAATTAAAAGTTACTTGAAATTGTTTTGGATGATACCTAACAATAATTTAATTACTGGGCCACCGGCTCAAGACGGGTGACTGAGTAAAGCTGGGTCAAGATGGGTCACTGGGCCAAGCTGGGTCACCGGGTCAAACTGGGTCACCGGGTCAAGCTGGGTCACCGGGTCAAGCTGGGTCATGCTACGGGTGTTCCTTCTGGACTTGAAAATTACCATCGGTTCCGCCCGGCAAGGCAAACCGTCTTCTTCTTAGGCTGCTCAATCGATAAAAATAAATGCTCCGGCTAACTCAAATCGGTGGGCTTTTAACTCTTTTGAAACTGCGTAACAAACCTTAACCTGCCGCCTACCAGTCTCCTGCCTCAACTCCTACTCCTCCTTTCCTTCCCCTCGTTCTTCGTTAAAGACAGGCACATTGACACCAAATAGATAATATATTGAAATGAGATTAGCGATACAAACAATTTACAGGGATCTAGCAGTTCTTCTCTTCTCCTTGTAAAAACACTAGCTTAACAATGACAACTACTAACTAAAAAATCCTAACAGGTGAAACTAATTTACTCAAGGGGTGGCCATCCTCTACAGTTTGAAAATTGCAACAACAGGTAATCGGTTTTTAATCCAGCATGGGCTGGGACTTATTTAAATAAACACAAAAATTTATCCTACTCTTTGGTAATCGTTCATTGGACTTTAATAAACAATCAACTCAAAAATTTTTTTTTACTATAGCTTAATTACCAAAAAGTGGAATTTTACAGAATGTTACAAATTTAATTAGACTAACCTTTACAACATTTGTACAGCCGATCTTGTGAACTGCTCTTTCCTCTGGTACAGGGTGGATGTGATGAAACCTGACACTTAGGTCTCTGTGACTTCCTAGGGGGTGGCTTGAATTTAACACACGGAAACAAAAATCCACGGTGCCTATCCTTCCTCGGAACGAAAGCAAAGTTTAGTGTTTGAACGGAAACTTAGTCCCGGAAATCCTTCGCGTGGCGAGTGGGAGACGGCTAGTTGCCAAAGTTTCTACACAGCACAGGGTATTTAATTTTATTTTATCAGTTTATTAGCTTTGACCGCCTGCGGAAGACGGATTTTTGAGTTAGCGGTACAGCAGAACACAAACTTTTATGATCACTATCCGACGGGAAACTGTGATGGTTCAAAGTATTATTTCACCAGCTCTTCTTGGGGCAAATATCTCTCCGAAACGCAGCGCTCCTTCGACAAATGACAGTACGGCACTAGTAGGAAATTCCACCTGGGGCGGATCCCGAAATTCTGCGCCTTGAGGACTAGGGCAGCACTTTGAATTAGGTATCCTCGAGAAAACACAACGTATCCTAACGCGATTCACTGCATCCAAAGTAAACTGGGGTGAAGCTCAAGGGTTCGCCAAAATATCACCTGATTGGAACCTGGGTCTTCTTCGCCAAAAAATCAACGCGCAAAGAAAAATAACACTTCGAAACGGGTGCAAAAAGCACGCAACTGGGAGCAACCGAAATAAGCCGGTGGCTCAAACCGCCAAGTGTACCAAAACTATCGCTCAAGGTACGTGTTGACCGCTTGAAATACTAACCGCGAGTCTTTTCTAAAACGCGATCACTCAAAGTACGTGTTGACCCCTCGACGTACTAAACGCGAGTCTCTTCTAAAACGCGATCACTCAAGGTACGGGTTGACCCCTCGACGTACTAACCGCGAGTCTTTTCTAAAACGCGATCACTCAAAGTACGTGTTGACCCCTCGACGTACTAAACGCGAGACTCTTCTAAAACGATCCCCTTCTTCAGAATTGAAATGAAAAAAACCACACCCAAATTACCATAAAACAAAAATGGCTCCCGCTAGAAATTCTCCCATTGGTTCAGATAAAGAAGACTTAACCCACTCTAACTTCGTCATTAACCTCAAAGAACTGCTGACCAACTGATCTCACGGTTTTCTGCTGATGACGTTAAAAAGGCCCCTTATCTCTGATAGCTCGGTGCTACATCCGCTCCTTTTCTCGGTCTAGACGGCGCCAAAGTTGATAAACAAACGACAAAAAAACTCGCATTACTCATGATGACGTCAATCAGCTTTGCATCTTCCCACGACGAAATTAAATCTGAGCGAAATTAAATCTATCGGACCATAGTCTTGAGCGAACCGAAATGCCCAAACACAAAATTTCTAACCGGAACAAATAATGAAATATACAGAGTGACCTGCACTATCATGACAAGGAATTTCGAATTTTTTAATGAAATTTGGCGCGAAATAAAACCACTCGTTACAGTCACTGGGTCAAACTGGGTCTCTGGGTCAAGCTGGGTCACCGGAGCAAGCTGGGTCACCGGGTCAACTGGGTCACCGGGTCACTGAGTCACCGGGTCACTGGGTCAGTAAACTAACTGGGTCACCGGGTCACTGGGTCACTCTATGCTTGACCCAGTCCAACTCTGGACGTAATAATTAAATTTAGTAATTTATTTCAGCTGCAATTTTTATGTAAAGTTACCTTACTCCGACACGCAGAATACACGTGACTTAAAAAAATATGTTACTACACCTTTTCCACTTTTATTCGAGAAGTTGTAAATTGTATTTGAGAATTGTTACTTGCATTTGAGAACACGTCAAAGTAGATGAGAATAGTCAGTTGGATTTGAGAAAACATCAAATGTATTTGAGAATAGTCAATTGTATTTGAGAAAGTATCATTTAATTTTATTGTGTTTCAGAATGTAATATTATTCCTAATGAATTATAATTAAGAATCAAATTTTTATAATTCCGCTACTGTATGTAGTCCCGCAACAGCAGCGGCAGCATCAGGCTATGTTATACATATGATTTTGTTTTTCTAATTTTCAATTGATTCTCAAATACTTAATTTTACCATTTCTTGAATACAATTTACTACTCTCAAATTCATTTGATGCCTTCTCAAATACAAATCACTATTCTGAACTACATTTGTTGTTTTCTCAAATACATTTGACTATTCTCAAATAGGTACAATTGATACTTTCTCAAATTAACTTGATAGTTTCTCGAATAAAAGTGGAAAAGGTGTAGAGATGCACTATACACTAAAAAACAAGGTATATACAGGGTGTTGAAGATTCAGTGGTTAGGGCCTCTTTTTAGGTTGGTATAAGTACTTAAAACCGTTTCTTTCTTTTTACTCGTTTCTTAAGTTATCTATAAAATTCATTGTTTCTTATAAAGTACGTCGTCATTGGCAACGTCCTTTATGCACTACTTAGTACGCTGCTTAAGTTTTCGTACCTAATGTTGTTGATTCTATTACCATGGTTATACAATGTTACTACCTACGCCAATCTTGAGAAAAATTTTTCTCTCATGAAAAAATATTAATAAAAGACGAATAATTCGGAGAAAATGTGCTTCTCAGTGTTACAAAAAATATCACGCTGTTTTATAATAAAGACTCGAACCGTTAAAACCTCGCTCCCTTCCGTCGCTGGGTTTTAAATGGACATCATCCTTTAAAGCACCTATAAAACATCTATACCTATTCATCTTAATAGCTGGCAATGAAAAAATTCAATGTTCAGCTTTAAAAAAAATATACCCGCTTTGCTGTCGTGTGTACGTATTTAGCTCAAAGCTATGAAGTGAAAATTATCTAGTTCAAGTATCTGCATGCCTACTCGCATGTACGTTGCCTATCTTAAGCATTACTTAAACATTGCCATTAACTCAAAATATAAAATAAAAGCAGCAGCAATACTAATAACAGTTTTATTTATTGTTCTGTGTATGACATATTTATTTATTATTATTTACGTATTCGTCTTATTTACACATAATTATTAAAACTTCTACTTCACTTTCCTGGGACGTAATAAATATTTTGTATGATTTCCAAATGCTAAAATGTCATCGTTTTTCTTACTCTTGATAAGACAGTTTGTAAATCCTAAGGTACCTCCAGCTTTTGTAGTGCAAGCATGAATTACAATTTCTTCCCCAATTTTGGCAGCTTTGATGAATCTAGGTATTTAAAAAAAACGCATTTAATGGAAAATAAACCGATACAACGAAATATCGAAGGATCCTCAGTATTACAATCACTTTTAACGACAATTTATTTTAATCTTACAAAATACATTTTATAGTTAACAAAAATGCATCAAATTCATGTCTTGGGCTTTGAGATAATGCTCTTGGTTTTTTTCCCAACGATCTTGGTGCATAAATAACGAGTTTGACATGTTTTGATCAAAATCCATGTGGTCCATAAAAATAGATCAAATTCATGTTTAGATCATTGAGATAATGCTCTTGATCTTTTTCCCAACGATCTTGGTGCCATAAATAACGATTTTGACATGTTTTGATCAAAATCCACGTTTTCGCCAAAAATTCATCAAATTCATGTCTTGGGCATTGAGATAATGCGCTTAGTCTTTTTCCCAACGCTCTTGGTGCATAAATAACGATTTTGACATGTTTTGATCAAAATCCACGTGGTCGCCAAAATGCATCAAATTCATGTCTTGGGCATTGAGATAATGCGCCTAGTCTTTTCCCAACGATCTTGGTGCATAAATAACGATTTTGACGTGTTTTGATCAAAATCCACGTGGTCGCCAAAAATGCATCAAATTCATGTCTTGGGCATTGAGATAATGCGCGTAGTCTTTTTCCCAACGATCTTGGTGCATAATTAACGATTTTGACATATTATAACGTGAGGTTAGTTCGGCGCTGTAAAACTCAAACCCCGCCGCATAAACGGCCAGCTAGCTCAGATTCTTAATTAAAAGAAGGGCTCGAGAGGAGAATCTTCCACAGCGGTTTGTTCGTTTGGGCATATAACATAAGTTTTTGATCTTTGGTAGTCACTAGAAATGATTAGTTGAGCGCCTCCCAATTTTGCACAAATTCTGACCTCTCCTGTATAGAAATTGGGAAAACACAAGAGAGCCAAATAATAAATTCACTACGAGCAATTCTGATTTTATTAATCCTGACAAAACGGTGCAGGATCGGCAAATAAAATGTATCTTCAATACGACAATAACAAATACTTTAAATGACAAAAATAATCCCCAAATAAATTCATGAACACTTCCCTAATAATTACGTTACCAGCCCCCTACAACAATGATCGAGCAAAAATGTAGTTAAGCTTTCAAATAGATTCCAAGATTGAATTCAGTTAACCCGAATAACAACTCATATAGGCAACACTGGGTACAAGTAAATTAAAAATCTTACCTTGAATAACACATACGCTGTCTCCTCCGAAAAAGAGCTCTCCTTCGAAGTTCCAGTTCTGTAACACAAAAAAACAAACCCCAAGCTACAACGCTCGGAACGATTATATGAGCCGGAAGGGCCAAAAATAGCTTACTCGTAGCCGGCTCGTTTACCCATACGTTAAATACAGGTGCGTTGCTCTTGAAGAGAGTCACGACCTCAAAAACTTGATGCGAACAAAATACAAAGCTCCGATCATAAATCGTCGGAAGGTTACACTAGATTAACGGTATTGAAGCAAATAAAAAAGGTTGTGTAAAAGATCGTAACTTCCGAAAATTCCACAATCAGCTGGTCGCTCCCGGTATCGTTTAGGTGTTAGCGCTTATCTACTCGGTGGTACGCCGGATAGCTGCCGGCAATCAGGTGTTCGTACTCCGGAATATTCGCAAGATGCAAATTCATTTACATACAAGAATTCATCTACTACATGGATTGATCGGTACAAGAATTCATCTACTACATGGACCCCCTAAAAGTAATGAAGATGTAACACTCCCTAACGAGATTTTTAATAACATACCTGAAATCGTCAGGAGGGTAATGAAAAATACTTAAATCAATTAAATATGGAAATTATCCAAGAGGTTGTGAATCTGAAAGAATTTTAGATAACATAACGTAAAAGAAAACCAACGCCATTTCACTTACATGTAGGTAGGGCGATGAACTTCCACCAGATATAGCCTCACAACGGAGAAAACGGCTTCTGAGTTACTCTACTCGACAACGCCAATAAAACAGGTAAAATTGCCAGAGATTTTACGTGAATGATGGCAAATATTACCCACTGGTTTAAGAAGAATTCACAATGCCACGCTCTACAAGTACAACCTCGTTGGCTTTAAAACGGAAATGAAGTGAAAAAATTACGCGATTCTGCGCGAGGAAAGAAGCACGCGTACAAGTGCCGCCATCTCACCTATATCCTGCCTAACGTAGCAAGCGGTAATTTTGAAATTTGAATATAAATAAACTAAACTGTTACAATATTTTGATCAAAATCCATGTGGCCTCAGAAAAATAATTTAACATTTTTGAATCACACACATGCGGTTATCAAACGTGCACGTTATCAACTCTTTCAGCATCAAGATAATGCGTTTGTTTGAAAGCTTTTACAACTCTAAATTCATGTGTAAAGAATAATTTTGGGTACATTTTGCTCTAAAACTTTTGACCGAGACCACAGAGAAGAGTTATATTGAATTGTTACACATCTAAGAGTCATAGGGAATAATCTAGCGAAAGTCCGAACTCGATACATGACCTAGGGAATGAAATATGTTGATTTCTATTATATTGAGTTCGCAGTTTTTCCTGTTCCCGATTCACTCGAAGTCGTATAACTTTTGTTCCTGTTGAACCAGCTTCCTGAAAATCAATAGCGTCCGTTCTTAATGTCCAACGTACCCGTTTACCAAATTTCAACACAATCGGCCACTTTTAAAAAGAGTTAGAGCGCACACGGACGGACGGACGGACGGACGGACGGACGGACGGACGGACGGACGGACGACAATACAAAACTATAAAGGATCTGAGGATCCTTAATAAACATAGTATCTAGGTTTGTCTGTAGGTATTACTGTAACCATCCTTAACGTGACAAAAGAATGTGATTATATTTGATCATGCTATAAAGTTTACGAATCTTATACTCATATCCATTCCATATCTAATAACTTAATATAAGAATAGAGCAAACTTTTTTTCACAAATAAAAAAATTCCCATAGAAATACTTGATTTCGAAGCAAGGTCGTTCAGATTAATTTTGTTTTCAAAAGGCATCACTCATAAAAAGGAATAGATTTAACGTCTCTACGTATTGAACATCGATTTTATAGAAATTCCTACTCCAAAATGGCACACCTCTAAATAGAGAGGATTTGATTTTCGTTATTAAGGATCCTCAGATCCTTTATAGTTTTGTATTGTCGTCCGTCCGTCCGTCCGTCCGTCCGTGTGCGCTCTAACTCTTTTTAAAAGTGGCCGATTGTGTTGAAATTTGGTATACGGGTACGTTGGACATTAAGAACGGACGCTATTGATTTTCAGGAAGCTGGTTCAACAGGAACAAAAGTTATACGACTTCGAGTGAATCGGGAACAGGAAAAACTGCGAACTCAATATAATAAAAATCAACATATTTCATTCCCTAGGTCATGTATCGAGTTCGGACTTTCGCTAGCTTATTCCCTATGACTCTTAGAAGTGTAACAATTCAATATAACTCTTCTCTGTGGTCTCGGTCAAAAGTTTTAGAGCAAAATGTACCCAAAATTATTCTTTACACATGAATTTAGAGTTGTAAAAGCTTTCAAACGCATTATCTTGATGCTGAAAGAGTTGATAACGTGCACGTTTGATAACCGCATGTGTGTGATTCAAAAATGTTAAATTATTTTTCTGAGGCCACATGGATTTTGATCAAAATATGTAAAAATCGTTAATTATGCACCAAGATCGTTGGGAAAAAGACTACGCGCATTATCTCAATGCCCAAGACATGAATTTGTGCATTTTTGGCGACCACGTGGATTTTGATCAAAACATGTCAAAATCGTTATTTATGCACCAAGATCGTTGGGAAAAGACTAGGCGCATTATCTCAATGCCCAAGACATGAATTTGATGCATTTGTGGCGACCACGTGGATTTTGATCAAAACATGTCAAAATCGTTATTTATACACCAAGAGCGTTGGGAAAAAGACTAAGCGCATTA